AAGTAAATATTCTTAAATAAGCTGTCCAATGTTTTCCTATGAGTGGCAGAGACAGAATTTAAATCCAGATCATATGACCACATAGCAAATGCATGACAGACCACTCTCAGTAACAAGGTGCTGAGTCCAGAGGAATCCATTTTTAATTATATGTGGTCCATTGAACAAAACATTTTTTCCAAGGTGTGTCATCTATGTATATAGGTATATGAATAATGAATAGGACATCCAATCAGGTGAGTAGAGTGGCAAATTCATGCTATAGTGTGAAACTAACATCAGTCCATGTTAACTCAGTCCATTGGCACTGGGCGTTCCACAGGTTATCAGGATCCTGACACAGGAGGCCTGTGAATGGCCCACTCAAAAGATATGAAACTGCATGGCTGCCTTCAGAAATCAGAATGTGGCAAGATCTGTGATCTCCTGGCAGTTTATTAAGAGGCATCATTGTAGAGTGGAAAATAGGAGGGAATTGATCCATAAAGAAAGGTCTTTATTCATTGGAAACTGAGAGTCTAGCACAGACTATAGATAACCACAAATGGAGATGATGTAATGTCATCTTATCCATTAAAATAAGAAGAGATAGCACATAAAATTTCAACTGACTGAGTCCTCTTGATCCAAAATGATACATATGGGGACAGAAGAAGGTGAAGTGGCAGCCTGTGGGAGAGGAAATGTGTTATCCTGATGATATTTGCTGCACCAATTAGAATGAGCAGTAATATTGATAATGATAATGATAACCAGTAGAAAGTTAGAATTTATGTAAGTGAAAATCTTCAAGGCTTGATAGAAACAATTAAATAGAAAACAGTATCATATTAAAGTTATTGTTTCATATTTATATTACAAAGCATAGAATAGCATCAAGCAAAGAATTATCAGATGGTAGCAATGGATTATTCTACAATACAAACTCTAAAATTGCATGAAAAGGAGATTTACAGGAGAAAGGAACTGAAAAAAGTTACTAGTTTGGTTATCATGAAAAAACTATTTAGACACTGTAAAATCCATTACATATGGAACCTCTAGTGAAACTTAGCCTAAAGAAAATAGGTAACTACAAATATATGTGAAGAAACAGGGTAGGGATGTGAATACTCTCTACGTACAAATAGTTTCCTTCATATATGCTCCAAGCTCTCTTAAGTCTTACTTTGTTTATAGCATTTAATGAAATCCTCAGTAGGATTTTACAAAACAGGTTAGTTTGAAATATTTTGTCAAAATTAAATTGTTGGACTTGGGGAGAAGTGAGAGTGTTAGTCCAAGTTTTCCAAAAGGACAGAATTTGCCATAAAAGAAAATAAAGCTGGGCTAAATGTCCTAGTGGGTTTATGAATTATAATACATTTATAATTATCATTTAAATAGTTTTAATATTCATTTTAATTTGGGAATAATTCAAAATCCAAAAAAGTTCAAGTATAATGCAATAGCCAATTGTGTATACACCATCATATGGGTCTCATATTTTCCAAAAAAAATGTTTTAAATAAAAGATCCATTGTTTTACATACACTCCTATGATCAGGATGCAACTTTAAAGATTTGACAAGAAGCCATTGTTTTCTAGCTTAGTTGTAACACTTATTTTCTGGGTGGTACAGAAGATAAATATATGCGTTAATGGCATGTGTCCTAGGTTAAATGACAGTGTGCTGTGAGCACAGACTAAGTTCCACCTCACCTTATTCCCTTTATAAGCAATCATAACCACTATCCTGTAATTATTATACTCTCATCTAATCTTTTGTGTATTCACTATATATATGCATTATACATGTGCAATAAAATTGCACATACCATTATTTTCTATTTTAATTCACTCAAAGAACATATGCTTTAGAAATATTAACCATAGTACTTTCAAACATTTTTTAATGGTAAAAGGTTTGGGTCTAGTTAATTTATTCTAAGTGCCCTATAGTATTTTATGGTATTAAAACATAGTGCTATTGGTGTCAGCTGCAGAAGCTTCCAGCTGAACTGGGCCCAGAGCTTCTTCACACAATGATTGATGGCATTTGTGGCTGAACTTACCCTCTCTGCCAGGATTGTCAGAGTGCTTAGGATTCCACAGAATGGATACATGTTCTGGAAGATAAGACCAAATTTTTTCAAAGCTGTATTTGGTAAAAATTTATCTAATGAAGAGATATCTAGCCGTTGAATTCATTTCATCAAGAAATGATCATGAAATGCTGGAAAATTAGGAAAGATAAAATTAATCAGGCTCTGTTGGAAGAAGTAGTTGATATTTCTTCTGCACAGCTAAGGATTTTGATTGGTGGTTAAAGCTTACACTTTCTAGTGAAGACATTGCTACATTACAAACCCAACTTTTAAACCTTCATCTATGTGTAAAAGAAAATGGTAAAGTCAAACTGTAGTCTGTTGAAATGGGTAAAGAAGGGCTGCAGACCCTAATAAATTCCTTGGAATAACTGGAATACTGAATACAAACATTATCAGATTCCACTGCTACCACTGATATGACAGAGTAAAAACTGCGTGTTCAGAAAACCTGCAGTATACTATAGTGCCAAGCTGAGAAAGCTTCCAAGTGGAGATTACAAAGATAAAAATTTATTCATCTTCTATAAAGAACAGGAAATTATATAGTTGACAGGAAATCAAGCTCCACTACTAATTAGCCATGTGACCTAGGACTGGTCCGTAATTTCTTTGCATCAATTTCCTTACCTATAAGATGGAAGATGATTTTCATACATACATCATAGGTTTCTGGGAGGATTGAATGAAGTAGTGAGTACAAAGTGCTGAGAACAGCAGCAAGAACATAGCAAGTGTAAACCATTATTAGTAGTATTAAACTATCTTTGATAAAGTTACCAATATTTTATGTGTAATATATTCCTTTATTGTTTGAAATGGCACTTCCATTGTTACTAAAGAGTTTCTGCATCTTTTCCCATATTTATTGGCCATTCTTTTCCATTTATATTTTTTGCCCATTTTTTCTTTTATTTCCAGTTTTTCTCATTTATTTCTGAGTCATTTAGAAAATAGTTGCAATTTATTGATTATATACACAGCTTATTCTCCTCTCTGCCTTTCCTTTGACTTATTTTATTATTATAGTGTGTGTGGTTGCACAGGAGTTGTTGAATGTGATGTGAGATTGACCCATCTATACCATCATAATTTGTTTGTGACCCTCATTTTCTTACTCAAATTATGACAATTCTATTCTGTATACTTGTCTAAATTATTTAAGCTTTGCTGTTCACATTTGGAACTTAGATTCTTCTGGAATTTATTTTTACACATGGCATGAGATAGAATTCAATGTTTGTTTCCTTTACAAACACATGCCAATTTTCTCAATACCACCCCCTTTTTAGTGGATAAATGATGCAGAATCCTGTCAGGCACCAAACCCCCACTTGTGAATGTCTTGAGTTAGTCATGTGGTGTATTTCAGTGATCCCTTTTTCTTGTATCTGCATCAGAACCACAATGTTTAATGACTTTGGCTTTTTGAAATTTTTATCAAGATGTAATGCAAATGGAAAAGGGCTCATTTGTAAGTATACCAACTAATAAATATTCATGAGCTCTCAGGTATAGAACATTACCAGAATCTTCCAGAAGCCCCATTCTTGCTCCTTTCCAGTCACTACAGACACTTGGTCCAAGGTGCCACTGATCAGACGTCTAAAAGTGTAGATTAGTTTTACCTGTTTTGATACTTTATGTACATGGTCACGGAGTATGTTCTCTTATGTGTATGATGGATTTATGTATGTGATAGATTCCACACAACATTATGTTTGTGAGATTTATCTAATTATGTCTTATAACTATAGATCATTTATTCTACTTTTAACATTCTTTTCCCCTATAATTTTAAATAACTTCAAATTTAGGGAAAATTTGCAGGCAAATAATACAAACAACTTTTTCCCTCAACCATTTTCAAATAATTTGCTGGCATATTGTCCCACCAATGTTGAAATGGAAAACCAATGTTTGATGGTTGTATGGAAGTCAGATAGGAGAATGCTTTTGTTTGCAGGAAATGCATGTACTGTACATTTAGGAACATGCATTTAGTACATGTAGGAAATGCCTATACTGTGCATTTCCTATAAACAAAGGCATTCTCCTATCTCACTTTTATACACCATCAAAAAAGAGCTGCCACTGATGCACTGCTGTCATCTGATCCAGAGGCCTCGTTCAAGCCTTTCCCATTGTCTCACTAATGCCCAGATAACCAAAGATCCAGGCCAGCCTGCAGAGTGCCCCGGACCACCAGTCTCCTCAGCCCCTAATCTGGAGCAGTTCAGTCTTCTCTTGAACTTCTCAGTCTTAATATCTTTGAAGAAACAGGCCAGTTATTTTGTAAAATAAAAATTATTTGCCTGATATCTCTTTCTGACTCAGAAGTCTTCTTATCATTTTGTTTATTCAAATGTAAATGACTTCATTAGAAAATCAGAAGGACTAAAAATACTGGCACTGAATCACCATGGCAGTCATCATAAATCACTGTCACTGAAGTTCAGTTAATTAAATTTTTGTTTTTCTGAGGAATTTACAAATTCATATGTATTTTAGTGGCAAATGCCTTCTATTCAAATTAAAAATTCTTTCTATCTTATGTGACTGAAATTAAATTTGAGAAATTGTATTTGATGTAAATTATCAGTTTCAGTTCACTTCATGGTTATCTATTAAACTGGATGTTTGTGAGTTGCTTTCCTGAAAGATAGCAGAATAATTTAAAGTCTGTGAACCTAGTAATGAAGGACCAAATATAAGCCTCCATTTTATCATTATGATTGCTTAAAATGTGCTGAGAAGAGCATAATTTTACAAATGTTTTGTAGTTACAAGTGAGGTTCAAAATTCAAGATAAATTCACTTTTGTGTTTTGGAAATAAGTCAGCTGAGTCATGCGGTAAAATATCCTGAAGCCTTTTAATGGAGATGTTTGTCTTTGTGCTGCGTTGTTCCAGGTGTCCCAGCTTTACCTGAGCAGCACTGGGCAGCCGTGTTCCTCTCTGCCACCTCACATTTTCTCCTGTGCCGAGAAGGCCTTTCACCAGCTGTTTCAGGAGCAGCGACCCCAGTGCTTCATTCTCAGGTAAACCCACTCTGCCGCGCAGCCTGAGGGTTTGGCTGTAAAACTGTCCTCATTTATTATGGTTTACATCTGTTTACGTTCTCAGCAGTTTGCAGTCCAGTATATCTTTGCAATAAGTACATTAGACTCCTTACAAAGAAGGAACATCTTTGTTGTTGAAAATGGCTTCAAGTGTGGCTGAATCAAACTTAACCTGAAACTCAGTTCATTCTGAAGATTTGCAGTTCAGAACCAGAGTGTTTTCGCTTTCAAGCTTTAGAGTAAAAGGTAGAAGAAAGGATCCCAATATTAGTGAACCTATACCACAGTTCTCCAAAATGTGGTGCTGCCCAAAAAACAAAATAAAAATTATTAGTTTGTAAATGTGGGTTTCCCACCACTTCTAGGTATTTACATTTGCTCATATTTCACCAAAATTATATACCACATAAAAAGTATTTTTGTGGAAATATAATGGTAACATTAGCTCATAAATATATGAAGGTACTTAGAAGGATGATTTATATTTGAGCAAAAATTCTTTACACCCAAAACAAATACCACAAAATTGGAGGTGAAATGTGATTATGCATTGATAGAAGATTAAAGACATATTTAGGAATTAAAATAAGATCTGCATTGAGAATTATGTTTTACACTAGGAGAAATCTCTGAAAGAGGGGGTTTCTGTAAATAATCATAGCTTTGCCTGGGTTCTGACCCTTGGTGTTGGTTGAAAACTGACTGCATGAATAAACCATTGCACAACTCTAGTCAAAGTGAAACGAAGGACTATAAAGAAGGGAATCTGGAGAGAACCCAGAGATGTTTAAATATTTAAATAAGCATTATTTATATACTTCTACATTATTGATTTGATCAAATAATGTAATGGAGGATCAGACTGATGGGTTGCAAACTTGAGCATTCTTCTTTCCAAAATACTGTGCAAGTAAGTAGTTTTCATACTTTTTCTGAAGTGTGCCCAGGATAAGAGAGGCACTGAAGAGTGGCTCCGCCCATTTTGAGTCTAACAACTCTATTTTTATTTGTTTTATCTATTGTGTTTTCTGGACTTACTGTGACAAAAAGGGAACACTTTTTAAAACTTGTGAGATCGAGAGGAGTGCATGGTAGTACTGACAATAATAGCAAGTAATATTTATTGAGAACTTACTAAGTGCTAGACCCTTACTAAATACTTTCCATGTATTATCTTATTCATTGCTTTAGCAACCTTATGAGATAGGTATTATTATTGTGATTAGGTGACTGAGTATTAGAAGGGTTCACTAATTGGTCCAGGGTCTTATAATTTGTAAATAGTGAATTGGAGATGTGAACCCAATAATGTGAATTAATAAATGGTGACTTATTTGTCTAGGACACAATATCTGGGCTGTGAGCCTAAGAGCCTTGCTTCTGAGCATCAGCAAAGCTTAACCATTCTCACAGCCAGACTTCAGTGCAGGGTGAGCCCCCTGCTGCTGTCCTGACAAGGCTTTCAACAACAGCTCTCTCCACTCTCCCCTAAAATTATGGGCACAGATCCATGGATTTACTTAAGTTATTGTTGAATCCACTTAATTTTGTGAAACATATTGATATCTAGTGAAGCTTTGAGGGACCAATGGTTTCACATACTTTGGAAGTCTATTATTATAGAGCTCACAACATCTAGCAAGTTTTCCATAAAGATTTCTACATGTGTTGCTTGCAGAATTTTTTTCCAGTTAGGAATGGTTAATATTCTGCAAAACTAGTATCCCTGTGAGATATTTTTAAAGGCTAAGACATCATGTATCAACCACTTATTCTGAAAAAATGATTTCTTTATTAAGTTTGAAGAGGGTTTCACCTGGTGCTGGTATCCAGAATTGAAGAACAAATCTGTGATCACAAGGACTTATTACAGTCATTCTCTGTCTTCTTTTAAGATTAGTGTTTCTATGTAGCTTCTCTACCTCCTTGATTGTCTTGACAAATCTAAAGACTTCCTACATCTATACTGACACATTAAAATTAATAAATTTAGAGTTCAACTAAGTACACTGATTGAAGTTCATTTATTCAGTGCCTATTGTGTCCCATAACTAGTATATACATAGATAATTTTTAAATAAAATTTTTTAAAGATTTAATTTTTTTAATTTTTAGAGGGGAAGGGAGGGTGAAAGCAAGGGAGAAAAACACAGTATGTGGTTGTCTCTCATACACCCCCTACTAAGACCTGGCCCACAACCCAGGCATGTGCCCTGACTGGGAGTCAAACCAGCGATCCCTTGCTTTGCAGTCCAGCACTCAATCCACTGAGCCACACCAGCCAGGGCACTTCTTTTAAGATTTGGAGAACAAAACTTAAACATTCCTGGAATAGATGTCCTGCAGCTTAATGCTAGGTCTGGAAAAATTTTTATTTCCAAATTTTAATTTAATTTTCTATTTTGTTGTTAATTATAGGCCCTGGTGGCATAGTAAGCTTTATCTTGAGAAAAAGTTTTTAATAATTTTTAAATCTTTCTCCTGGGCTGTAACTGGGAGTCTGGAGTCCACCATGATCTACCTTACCTTTGACTTTATAAAGGCCTTGTTAGATGGTTTTAAGAAATTATTTGAACATGTGTGAAAAATATCCATTATCCTAACTATATGCTGAGCAAACCTAAATTAATATTATTTGCTGCACACACGCATAACTTGTGAAATAAACAGTACAGGGTTGGCCTCTGTTGTGTACAAATTTAGCAGACAGGCTGGTCAAATAAACTTAAGAATTTTTATGAGCCCATGATTGACACAACCTAAAATTTCTGGTCAATTTATAATCTAATCATAAACTTGGATTTTGAGATCAAATATATTTCTTGAAGGAGTTGAACTAGAAATGTTAGTGTTAATGGGATCACCTATGGAGCTAAGCCTAACATAACCTATTTTTCTTTTCTTTTATTTCTTTGTATTTTACTCAGTTTAAATGAAGTATAGCCATTTTGAGATTTTATGAGATGGTTAGAATGTTTTTATTTTAGCTATCATTTTCACTACTCCTAATCTGACAATCAGACCCAGGGAGCACAATGGTGGGAGCAGAGAAGGGGAACTCACATGACCAGCAGGTCAGCCCCTTACCCTCACATGCCTCTGTGTCTTCATATTCACAGAGACTGTTTCTGCCTTAGTCACTACTCTGCACTTGCCACCTATTTCAGATTGCTTAATAGAAGCGTGAGAAATACTTATGGAATATTTAATGCTAAATAAATGCTACCTTCTCCAAGAATCAGCTCAACTTCCACCTCATTGAGAAGGCTTCCCTGGCCCCCTCTGGGGGATATACCTTCTCCTTCACCTGTGGGTGCATGGTTTGCTGTGCCCCACTCTGTTCTAATTATGCATCACTTATGTACTCAGTGTTGACTTGAGAGTATCCCCACAAGACAGCAAAGGGAGTAGTATTTTTCACTTCTTTACTCATGAAGCCTCTGGCACATATTAGGCCCTCAGCGACTTACATTTGAAAGAATATGCAATATTTTAAAAGGGAAAATGGCATTTTTAAGATATATACCTGAGTGAATGCAAGCAAGATCTCTGTCAAAAGAAGATTCATGAAACATCTAGTTATTTTTCTGGGTAATAGAAGTTTTGCAGCAATAGATATAATTGCAGAATTAAATTTCCATCATGAGAGATCTATATTGTTTCTTCTCTGAAATTAGAAAGTTAAAAGAAAAGGTCTTTGAACTGAAAAAAGGAGCTGCTTGTCTTGTGCAGGTCACTGTCATCTGCTCCACTGGGGATGCTGGGGTAGTTGTTCCAAAAGTAGTTAAAATGTTCACAGTCAGTGTGAATGAGGGGAGTAAAAGCATTTGTTAATAACTGGAGATGTGAATAAAATAGTTAAAGTTCAGCTTCTTTTCTGGCAAATGCCCTTTCTTTAATCACATTTATTAGAACAAAGTTCAAGAGAGAAAACTGAGAAAACAGTAGTTAAGAATTTTATATATATTTAATTTTTGAATAATAGATAAAAGACTATTTTTATAAGTATTCTATCTGGATACAGTAAAAACTTTATTTTATATCAGACCACTTTGGTATAGTAACTATTGTATTGGAACTTTATCTTAACTTTGTATTGTCTAATTTCAGGAGTATAATATAGTTATTGTGTATATGTATATATGTATTTACATACACACACACACACCTTGGAAATATCAAAAGTATTATTATTAAAAATAACAAGTGTGGTTAGTGCTTGCTCCTAGGTTAGAGGAAAATGGGAAATGTGGACTGCCAGAACGGAAGCAACTTCAAGAGGAAATGGGCCATTTTAGGGTTGCTGAGTGTCAGCACTTCATTCACCTACTCACATTTCACCAACTGGTGACCGTTTCACCAACTTGGTTTTAGTAGCTGCACACTCTCTGTTCATTCAGAAGAAAAGAGAAGTAAGGCTCAGAAAGATGTAATGGCTTTCCCAGGCAAGATGTAATGGTTTGTGGGGGATGGTGCAGAAAGATTTAACAAGGCCAAGCAGGTGGCTCTAGAATGCATGCACCTGCAGTGCAGAGGGCTGTCACCTTGGATCCACCTCAGTCACTTTCATTTCCAAAGCTAGAGACAAGTGGATACTGTTTTTCTGTTCCACCTATCACCTTCAGCAGTAATTCACCTGTGTTACGTGGTTCTACACTGTAAGATATCAGATGGCAGAGGTTGCATCACATTCATTTGTAGTTCCAGTATCTGAACACCTGACATCGTGTTCAGATGGGGTACCTGACAGAGTACGCATTTGCTGAATGTTTTGAATGAATGGACCAAATTGAAGAGTAAAATGATACCATGACTCATTAAAAGTTATGTTGTTCCCTACCATCATTGTACCTGAGAATTATTTGTGGTTATTAATTTTTTTTACTAAATGTTCCAAAATAGTAAACTTGTGTTTTTCTTTTGTTTTTAGTGGCGAAAGAGGATCTGGAAAGACTGAAGCCAGCAAACAAATAATGAGGCACCTAACCTGTAGATCTGGAACCAGCAGGCCTGTATTTGATTCCAAATTTAAACATGTAAGTTCTTATTGTCTTGGAAAATACGTTGAGCCAAGAAAAATATTATTTAAAAATAGGGTGACATCATAATATACCATACATTTGACCATAAGTTGATCAAAATTTGTGAAAATAAGAAAGATTGAAGTTTAGTATAAATTAATATTGTCCAAGTAATCTTTCCTTGTATAACATATTTAAAAATATTTTGATATACTCTCTTTTCATATGTGTCAGAACAGTTGGATTAAAACAGGTAATTTAGTTAGAAGTTGTTGTTCACAAAGAAAGTGCCACTTTGGTGTGTAGCTGCCTTTGGCTGGGCTAACCCATTCGGAAATCTTGGGGTGGGGGATAATTGAAAGCTGATAATAAAGTTTCAATGTATGTAAAAGAATTGGCAACAGGAAACCTTAAAGACATTGATGAGCAGGAAGTAAATCTTCACCCCTAAGTCAAAAAAACCTGTTAACCTTATATGTAAAAAATTATGTCGAGTGTCTCACACATGTAAGAAGAGTAAGTTCTGTTAAAAATAAATCAACATGCTCTATATAACATGCAAGAAAATGACATCCCTATATGCTGCTATATCATTTCCTTGATCAACAAAAACACATTACACATCACAGGCCACGTTGCAGCAGTACACACTTTCTTGGTGCATATTTCTAAGTGAGGCATTGCAAATACAATGACACAGTCTTCAATGTACACAGCTCGCTCCTCCTGCACAGGCCTCCCTGCACACACCTTTGCAGAATCACACCTGCATGTCATTCAGCAATTGTGTAAGTGTCTGATTACATTTGAATAAAAACATTTGCTTTTATCTGAGAGCCTTCCTTAAAACAATGCCATCTAAAGGTTCACACACATTACAAATCTATAAATGTACTGCACAATGGGTATTGTACTGTTTGTGTTTGGTTTTGTTTCACTTGTGCTTTCTACCTTGTGCTGCAGGTCAGAATTATTTCTGCCATGGTATTGTTTACATGGGAATATTCTGGAAATTTAGTATTGGATTCTTCACTTAGAAATGAGAGGAACTTACATTTAACTGGTAGATTAATGTTATTTCCTTGTATTTTCTACTTTTCATTAAGAAGTGCTTAAATAACTAAATTTGCCTTAATGGATTTCCAAGCATGTTCCTGATTCTGGAGGCTTTTTCCTTTATGGAGACTATATAATAAATCATACTGCAGTGTGTCCATGGAATCATATGTATTCATTAATGACTTTACTTCATAGCCATTTATTAAGCTCAACCTATAAATTGAGCATCTGCATAATTTTACAGCACAGCTCAAAATAATTGAACATATTAGGTTGACTTGGAAAGAATAGTATAAAAGATCTTTGTTCAGATATTATAATATGATGACTCTTGACAGTTAAGGATTAGAGAATTTATAAAACAACAGTTATAAAATAGACTCAGGTTAACTAATAAAATAACAGGATATATTGGCTTAATTATACTGACAAGCAACAATAGATTCCATTGTAAATTATAGACTAAAACAATCATTTATTAAAATAATCCTTTGAGAAAGAGCAGGCTATGTAATTTTTAAAGTGCATTCTAGATTACTCTATGTAAACTGGCTTTGCATTTTAGCTTAACTGAATACATTCTAAGTAGCATTTCTTTGGATAAGAGGTTCTAACTCTTCCAAAATTAATTAGAATCTTGGAATGAATATTATACTGTCAATGCAAGTTGTAAGTAAAACTATTTCTAATTCATTTTTAAAATATATTTTATTGATTATGCTTTTACAATTGTCCCATTTTCCCCCTTTATTCCTCTCTGGCCTGCACCCCCCTCCCACATGCATTCCCCCACCTTAGTTCATGTCCATGGGTCATACATATAAGTTCTTTGGCTTCTACATTTCCTATACTATTTTTAACCTCTGCCTGTCTATTTTGTGCCTACCAATTATGCTTCTTCTTCCCTGTACCTTTTCCCTGTTTCTCCCCCCTCACCCTCACTGCTGATAACCATCCACGTGATCTCCTTTTATGTGAATCTGTTCCTGTTCTAGTTGTTTGCTTAGTCTGTTTTAGTTTTTTTTATACTTTTTAAATATTTTATTTATTTATTTATTTATTTATTTTTTTGGAGAGAGGAGAAGGACAGGAGAGCAAAAGAGAAACATCAACATGTGGTTGCCTCTCATGTACCCCCCACTGGGGACCTGGCCTGTAACCCAGGCATGTGCCCTGACTGGGAATTGAACTGGTGACCATTTGATGTTTTAGTTTTTTCAGTTTTGGTTGTTGATAGTTGTGAGTTGGTTGTCATTTTACTGTTCATGTTTTTGATCTTCTTTTTTTAGATAAATCCCTTTATAATTTCATATAATAAAGGCTTCTTTACTTTGGCCTTATCTGGGAAGCACTTTATTTTCCCTTCCATTCTAAATGATAGCTTTGCTGGATAGAGTAATCTTCAATGTAGGTCCTTGCCTTTCATGGCTTCAGATACTTCTTTCCAGCCCCTTCTTGCGTATAAGATTTCTTTTGAGAAATCAGCTGATAGTATTATGGGAACTCCTTTGTAGGTAACTGTCTCCTTTTCTCTTGCTGCCTTAAGATTCTCTTCTTATCTTTCATCTTGGGTAACTTAATTATAATGTGGCTTGGTGTGTTTCTTGTTGGATCCAATTTCTTTGGGACTCTATGAGTTTCCTGGATATGCTGGAAGTCTGTTTCCTTTGCCAGATTGGGGAAGTTCTCCTTCATTATGTTTTCAAATAAGTCAAATAAGTTTTCAATTTCTTGCTCTTCCTCTTCTCCTTCTGGCATCCCTATGATTCAGATGTTGGAATGTTTAAAGTTGTCCCAGAGGTTCTTAAGCCTCTCCTCCTTTTTTTTTTAAATTCTTATTTCTTCATTCTGTTCTCAGTGAATGTTTATTTCTTCCTTCTGCTCCAAACCATTGATTTGAATCCTGGTTTCCTTTCCATCACTGTTGGTTCCCTGTATATTTTCCTTTATCTCACTTTGTAGTCTTCATCTTAGGCTTCATTTCTTCCTTCATTTTGTGACTGAACTCAATGCATTCTGTGAGGACTCTGATTACCAGTGTTTTGAACTCTTCATCTGATAGTTTGGCTATCTCTTCATGACTTAGTTCTTTTTCTGGAGTTTTTATCTTCTCTTTCATTTGGGCCCTATTTCTTTGTCTCAGCACATGTGTTACATTGTGAGGGGCAGAGCCTTAGGTATTCAGCAGGGTTGGGCAACCCTCTTCACTGTGTTGGGGTGCTGTCTGTGAGGGAGTTGTCATAAAGGTAACAATGCCACTTGCTCAGCTGTCACCCCACTTTCCATCACTTCCCTCTTTTTCAACAAGTGGATTCTGCCCTTTCAGGTGCTGACTCCCAGGTGGGTAGTTTTGTGGGTGCTGATTCCCAGGTGGGTTGTTCTGCAAGAATGTGGGACAGCCTGGTCAGCCAGCCCCTGCCTCACTCGCAATGTCTGCTGCCTTGTTGCATGTCCACCCTTGCTGTCCATCTCTATCCCTTTTACAGGTCTGGATGAATGTTTCTTTAACTCCTTGGTTGTCAGGCTTCCATGCAGTTTGATTTTCTGGCAGTTCTAATTGTTTTTTGTTTTTAAGTTGGTTATTATCCTTCTTCTTGTTGTGCGAGGAAGACCTCCATCTTGACTGGATGTCTGAAGGCTATTCTTATTAGAAGTTAACAAAGAATAAATAGTGAAAGTGTAGTAGTGATATATGAGGAAGGACACATTGAAAAGGTTTTCAGCTGAGAATCGTGTGGAGGCTGAGGAGTAGAGAATATTTTTCTTGTGGTTTCCATCGAAGACATAATTAAAGATGTATAAATAAAACTCATAACATGGAGTGTGCAGGACAAAGAGGAAATGAAGGTATGTGGGAGGAGGTTGGGCATTTATACGTTTCATGCACTCATAGTATACAGTACTCTCCATGAAGGGGGTGCGGAGAGGAGGAGAAAGAGATTTAGTTGGTATCTGGAAGGTGAGGGAGAACCCTGAGCTCCAGAGATGATTTTAGTAATTTTATATAGGTAATACACATATACTTTAGAGACACGCAGCTGTGATATTTCTGAATTTTAGCCTTACATGTCAATTGTCCCATCTTAAAAGTCTGCATAGGTTTGCATTCTACCTCTGCGCAGTGGGCTTCTGAGTGTGCCTTACACAGTGGGGGTGGGCAGGGGGGGTTGAGTCCTATCACCATTGTTTGTGCTTTTGTTTCCCTGTATAATTTCAAAACAGATAAACTCAGGTTAGAAGACTATCATTTATAATCCCTGTAGTTGAATTTCAATCTGTGGAAGTAGGGGATTTTCCATGGCAGTAGGTTTCTTGGAACATAAAAATCATGTTTGTTTTTGATGGGGGACTGCCTGAGACTTTCTAGTAATTCTGGAACAATTGAGTTTCAACTTTAAGAAACATTCAGTTTTATTCAAATTATTTAAACATTTATTGAGCAACTGCTTTCACAAGGCAGAGTGATATGGTCAAATTGTTCAAGTCATTATTTTGTAGCAAGGGGGCCACAGGTTTTTGCTTTTAGAAAATTCAAGAGGTTAACTACTACCATAATAATAGTGCATAACTTTTAGTGGAATCATTATTAACATTGTATAGCAAAAAATTACCATACAATGTAAACAGGAAAAAATCATGCCAATAAAATCTGAATCAGTAAGTACTGAGGAAATTTATACTTACTTTTATGAACATCTTTTAATTTAAAATTTTATTAATGTACAACATTCTCATTTTGTTTCAAAGTTAAGTTGAGTGGTGGACTATCTTTTATGGCATTTTTCTTGGTATTTCTCTTAACATACTTGTTTGGTGCCACCTACTGGCCAAGTTGCTAATTAAAGATTAAAAACCACTGGTTATTTCAAGTTAATCTTGAGTGATGAACCCGAATTGCATAGTGAAAAAATGCCATGTGAGTATTTATATTTTGTTTAATGGTTTTAGTTTTATGACTTATATGTACTATTTATTGTTATTCTAGCAGTAATAGCCCTATGATGCAGTACTTAAACATATTAATTCCACAGAGAGATTAGATTATTTGGGTTGAGATCCCAGTTTCACTATTTGCAAAATTGGAACTTTGGGAAACTTACTTAATTTCTCAGTTTTCTTTTCTGTAAAATAGACAGACCAGCTAGGAAATGAAAAGAGACACATGTCCATGCATACACACATGTCCTACATATACATGTATACACATGTGTATAGGAATAACTTTACATACATTTAACTTTATATACATAAGTTCACATATGTTTCTATTATTATTAATGAAAATAAAATTAATCTTGTTATTTGTTGAATGCTTAGTATGTGCCAGGCACCAATCTGAGGGCTTTATACACCTGACACTTATAATCACTGAAGGAACTGTTCCTGAATTAGAATAAAGAAAAATAAGGTTCAGGAAATTTAAAAAATTTGCTCCATGTGGCATGATTTGTCATTAGCAGAACTGGAATGTGAGAGCAGCTACTTTTCACTCCAAATCAAAGATATTGTACCGTTACCCTACACTTCCTATTTGGGCACATGTCATTAATTATCTTTTGTGTACTTTTTCTATCATAATAAAAATCCAGTTTATTATCAGATATAACACCAAAAAATAGAAGCCCAAATATTTTTAAAAATTTATTCCAGTTTTTAAATGAATTTTAAAACAGTTGTTTAATATAATGTAAATGTTTAAAGTGTGATATAATTATATTATTTATTTCACTATATATTTATTTAATGTTGAATTATTGTAAATTAAGCAAAAATGGGACCTTAATAAATACTATTTATAATTATTTTTCAGAAAACACCTTTGTAACAACTACTGTAATTTACTGATCTTTAAAATTAATTTATTAGAAAAAGACTTAAATCATAGAGGTTTTGTAAAGATTTAGTATGTTTCTTTCCAAAAGATCAAACTTCCAAAGCAGATGTTTTAATATATTTCACTATTATTACAACTCTTAACACTTGACATCAAAATGTTGCTCCACAATCTTTCAAAATATAAACTACTTCCATGTGAATTGAATGACTTTATCTACCAGTAATCAGAAAATTTAAAAATAGGAGCACAGTTAGTATTTATTTAGATTAAAATTCTCAAAAGTATTGTCACCAGAGTTATCATAACTACCACCCCATGTATCAATAAGTATTAACATTTTTATGTGTTTTCTTTATATTTTTTATTAAATACTTTTGAATTTTATTGTTGTTCAAGTGCAATTTTCTGCCTTTTCCCCTCACCCCTCCCCACCACCCCAGCCATCCCCATCTCCCTCCCCTGTTTCCACCCCCACCTTATTTTTGTCCATGTGTCCTTTATAGTTGTTCCTGTAAACCCTTCACCCTTTTCCCCCCATTACCCCCTCCCATCTCCTCTCTGGTTACTCTCAGTTTGTTCTTAATTTCAATGTTTTTGGTTATGTTTTGGTTGCTTATTGGCTTTGTTGATTAGGTTCCAGTTAAAGAATAAGTATCGGTATTGCTATGCTCTCTCTTGTGGTTGATGCAAAAAATATATTCAACATTATTTGCATCTTGAAAGGCAGAAAAACTCCTACTTTCCAGATTTTCAGGCAGTTTGGAGAATTGCTTGGTCATCAACATTATTATAGGCACAATAAATTATGGGAATAAATGGTGTTTGTTCTATAATCAGTGTTTAAAGAAACGCATCAAGAAAATTTCAGATGCCAGGTTGATCTGAGGAGCTTTTCTAACAGCATCTTAAAGCCCCAGACTGCTCACTTCTGCAAGAGAAGAGAAAGCAATAGAAACACTGGGCACACAGCCTAACCTAGAATTCTTATTCTTGTTTCTGGGGCAGCGAATGGTTGGCAGGGAGCAAGAACAGGGAGAATGGAAAGTTAACATAGTGGCTCACGGTTGAAAAGTGTGTAAAGTAAGAGTTAAAAGCAGGTTAAAATCCAGTGTTTAAGTGAATTTATTATTTTTAAAAGATGTTCTATCACTTATATTAACTTTAATTTCTTCCCTCCAAAGCTACAACAACATACATGTGTATCATTTTCTATTCAGACATCTTATCTGGGTGTACATTTTCTATACATACATACCTATGATGAAGTTAAATTTACAAATTATGCACAGTAAGAGATAAACAAAAATGGTAGTAAAATAAGACAATCATAAGAATATGTCATAATAAAAGTTATGTGAATGTGGATGCATTAAGTAAACTAAGGGTTAGTTGAACCAGCACTTTGATGCCTCCACAGTGCGTTTGATAATCAGACAGCTGGTAAGTAACTAACAGGCATGTAGCTGGACACACCAGACAAAGGGAAAGGCTGGACAAAGGGATGATTCACTTTCTGGGTGGAATGGATGAGGCAACACAAGATTGTATCACGTTACTCAGAAGACTGTGCAGTTTAAAACTTATGATTGCTTATTTCTGGAGTTTTCCATTAATATTTGGAACCATGGTTGACTGCAGGTAACTGAAACCATGGACAGCAAAACCACAGATAAGGAGTGCAGCTGCAGTTTGCAGTTGGGGAGAGTGACCTCAAAATCCAACATGGTATTGCACAAACAATAGGGAACCTCTTAGATAATGGATTATTTCCCATATCTTTGCTATTGTTCTCTAATTTTACCTAAAAAAACAAAACTGAGTAGTTCAATAAATGGTTCTCTTTTACTATAGGTCATGTGCATTTTAGAAGCCTTTGGACATGCAAAGACCACTCTTAATGATCTATCCAGTTGCTTTATAAAGTATTTCGAACTACACTTCTGTGAGCAGAAAAAACACTTAGCTGGAGGTAAGTTCAAAATTCACACAGAGAGATCTCACTTGCTGCCAGAAGAGGGCAGAGAAACACCAAGCATGGCAGTAATGAGTGGTGTGTGTACCTCTGTGTGTGTCTGTGTGTGCACATGTGTGTGCATGCTCACAGGTATATCTGAGATATCAGGTTATGCATGGTAAAAATATTTTGAATTAAAAATATTTTAAAATGCAAGATGAACTTTTAAAATAGTTACTGTATAATGAGACAAACCAAAAAGAGCTGAAATGAATCATATTTGCTGAACATAGAAGTGAACTCAAATAATTAAAATTATAACTTGTGTATATAATTTCTTCATACAACACACATTCAAATCTATTTTAAACAAAATGGAGTTTATACTTTTAAAATGATTGAATTAAAATAAAACACCAAAATAATCACCCAACTAAACACAAAGAGAACTGTATTTAAACCAAATAAGGATTATGTGGTTTAAATATTTAATGTGTACTTTATGAAAATCCCCTCTTTTAAATTCAACTAATTTAGGATCCATGTAGAATTTTACATCTTTCTAATAAAAACAGATTATCCTTGCAAATTAAGAATATAAATACAATTGCAGGTGGATTGACTAATTTACTTAGAGAAATCAACTATTTTAAAAACTTTTATTTTATTTAAAAATTGTTAAAGATTTTATTTATTTATTTTAGAGAGAGGGAGAAAGAATGAGAAACAGTGTGTGGGAGACACATCGATTGGTTGCCTCCCACAGAGACCCAACCTGGGACCTGGCCTGCAACCCAGGCACGTGCCCTGTCTGGGAATCAAACCAGTGGCCTTTTGGTTCACAAGCCAGTGGTCAATCCACTGAGCCACACCAGCCAGGGCTAAAAACTTTTACAAATTCTGTTAGCACACAAACATTTGCTAATTTCAGCAATTTTTGAAAGATAATTTTATTTGGTGTTTTCAAGTTACTCTATCTTTTCTTCAGAAAGTAAAAGTTTTGACTATAATTTAGAAACAAAAACTTTTACAGTAAATATATCTTAAAATTAAATGTTTGCTAGGTGAAATTTGGTAAAAAAATCATAAATAAGGTAAAATAGATAATTTTAGATATTGAGACTAGATTCTTAAATTCTGCAATAGGAAAGTTTTTCATTGTTTTGTTTGTTTTGGTTTTGTTTTTGTTTTTAATCCATGGCTAAGATCTACTGTTTTAGAAAGACCTCAGAGGAGAACTGTCTTGAGGCACAAATGTCTTTATGTCATGGTTTTACGACACCTCAGTGAGACTGTCCCTTCAAGTAAAAGGCACAGCCTGAACACTTTGTGACCATAATTTTCACCTGAGCTTTCAGGGAGCAGTGGTTAGAACCATGGCAGTTAAGGGGGTAGGAAGTCCCCAAAGCTGCATGTTTCTACCCCCTGTCATCCAGGTATAACTCAAAGGTAAGCTCTACGGGCATAATTTGGAACTTGTTAGAATGTACACTCTTAGCCCAACTGCAGACCTGCTGATTGGGACTATGCTTCAACAAGAATCCCAGGAGATTTGTGTGAACCACTGAAGTTTGAGAGGCGCTCTTCTGGCCCAACCCAAGGACAGCTGGCCACTCAAGCTTGTGCACAGTTGGCACAGAGGAGAAGACACTTGTCTGGGGCATCACTTGCATGACTTTTTTCTTCTTTCCTTTTGAAACTCTCTTTACCAAGGCAAAGATACATAACTGGTTCTGAAGATCTTAGCCATTACTGTTTTTCCTGGATAGCATTTACCATGTCCTCCTTTTCAGGAATACTAATTTAGAAAATAATTGCATACACATGTGAAAAAAAGAACTGGAAAACACTGCAGTGAGCAGTTGTGTTAATCAGCAGTGTCTATTAACACTCAATCCCACACAGTTTTGGCATAATCAAATGAACAAATACCTCTCATGCAGCTTCTGCAGGCAGCACACTGTGATACAGTGATGATAAATATTCATAAGGGTGAACCTGAGGCACTTTGAGATTCTGAAATGCCCTCAGAATCATTAAGGAGCGATGAGCATAAATTCAGTATACTTTGAGCCTGGTGCATAATTGAATTTATTCTCCTCTTAGGAAAACAGCAACCCAGGCACTCTCCACATTTCTCCACTTTACATGTTGTTTTCCTAATCCTTCTGTTCTGCTCATTAGACCCCTTACTTTAGTTCCTATCACCTACCTTTGTTGGGTAGTTTCTTCCTGTGTTGTTTTAAAATTCTGGCAAAAATGATTTATGGTGCTTTTCACAGTTTTTGAAATTCTAAGAATAAAATAACTACTAACATGTAAAAAAACAAATAAACAAAAGCTAGTGCCGAGACTACAGGAACAGAAGCAGAGTGCCCACAACTTGGTGGCAGGGGAAGCCTGAGGTGTCAGACTGGGAGTTCAGTTCTTCATTTCCTGTGTTTAAGAATAAAAATAAAGAATGTATTTAGAGAACGTTTATCAAGAGAGTGAAAATCAAAATACCACATGTTTAGAGTGAGCTTTGAAGAAACTAAACATGTTTTCACTGAAAAGGAAGAGACTCAAGGGAAATAAGACAAGTAGCTTCAAATATCTGCTGCTGTGGAAAGCCTCGTGTTCGTGCACACAAAGATTTATTGTGCATATTATCAAAAGTTTGTAAAGGTTTCAGAGATGGAGTATCTTCACTTAATCACAAGAGCTCCCCATCTCATTTCCTCATGATTGCAAAGTACTCTCTCACCCTGACGCTGGATGCCTTCAAGCAGGATGGAAGAACTGGCACCGAACATGCTGAGAGTAGTCTGACCCCAGGTAGGACACCTGGACTAGATTAGTCTGAAGATGCTACCTACTGCTTCACATTCTCTAAGTCCGGATGCAAAGGACTTTGTTAACTATTAATCAGATGTTCTGATGTTTAATGGAGTGACTTGATAGCTTTTATTGTCTCCTGGTGTCAGCATAGAATAAACACTGTCACTATGAGACAGTGATCCAGTGTATTACTGTCCAAGAGTTTTTAGGATGTAAGTCCATTGATGGCAGAGATCTTGTCTGCCCTGATTTACAGTAGGCACACATTCAGTGTCTGTTGGGTTAACGACTCTAAGGAATGGCATTGTAAAGGGAACAATAAAGTGAAGCAGTCATTACTCAGTTCAAGGAGGAAATTGTGAAAAACCATCATAAATTCATTCATGCAAATGAAGGACACATTACTGAAAGTGTGAAATAGGTAAAAAAGGTTATCAATAATTAACTCTGGGTTAGTTTCTAAATCAGAGCCAATGAGACAGAGCTAATTATTAATTTCTTCATAATTAGAATTTGTGTATGATAGGAATAGGAGTTTTTAAAATTTTCTTAAAGCATTTTATCATGTTGGAATGGACAAAGCAGGACAATATGCTGGCAGGTCTACAAAGGGAAGAAGACCCAGAATCCACATGTAAAATGTGAAGAATAGTTGGCTTCTTATTTTTTCTGTGCCCCAAAGACATATTTAAGTGGAAATTAAAATTTACTAACAATTGGAAATGTCTCCCAATAAATATATAGTATCTGCTAGGGGAACTTAAACCTTAGAGTTAACACAAATGAGATGGAAAATATATTAAGGCTTTTACCTTGTGTTTTTTCAACTCCTCATTTTATAAACAAACCAGAAGACAGTCTTTGCCTTCATTATTATCAGCATCAATTATCCGTAGTATTGTACTCTCAATTGGACTATGTTTTAAAAGTTTTAGAGAACTTTAATTGATCTTATCTCCTTTGAAGAATGGCATCTTTTAGTTCAAACAACCTGGGCTTTGGAAATAAGTCTCTTGGGTTTAAATGTAAAAAAGGACTGCAACAGAATTTAAAGGAGATAATGTTTGAAAAAAAATTAGCACAGTGCCTGCTGTACAATAGGGACTTTAAGTGGTAGTTCCTTCCTTTTGGAGTACACAGGAAGCCTGGGGCCTTTGTGTATTTTAATCCTCATTTACCGATGGGCAAAGAGAAATTAAGAGGGACATAGAGATTGCCAATGTCACCTTCAAGACTAGTTCCCATACTTTGGACTCCTAGTTGAAGGACCTTTCACTTACTCCACCCCTAGCATTAAAGTTCATTAATAATGAAGTCAAAATAAATGCATTAATTGTGAAAAAGAATATTTGCCTATTTTACGAATCAATAATGTGCTTTTGGCGACTGCTAATGGAAGGCATGATGGGAATTTCAGGGAACAGGTTTTACTTTATAGCTAGATGAGTGGAACAGGGTGAGAGTTGGGGCTGGAAATTTCTGGAAGTCAAAAGGGCAGTGAAAGTAGTCATTTGTTTTCCTTGAAGGAGAGGGAAATTTATATACTCTACTTTATTTCATATTGAAAAAAGAATTGGAGCTCTGTACTTTCCCTACATATTATGTTATACATAATTTGCAAACATACATTTTACATTACCAAAACTTTTTGAGAAACATATATTTTTACATAGATTACTGAAAAGATGCAGAGTCACAAGTATATATCTAGTCAAGATTATTTCTGACATAAAAGATCTCAAATAGAAATTTGAATTTTGGGTTTATTTTGTGTTTTTTTTCATCTAAAGCTACTTCTAAGTACATATTTTTAAAAATTCTACTGATCAGAATCCTGCTAATCCACAGCAGTTTTGTTCACTGTTGGAGATGCACTAACTAGGATGATTAGTAATTATACTGGTTTTGAATTTATTTTAAAGATTTTATTTATTTATTTTTTAAACAGAGGGGAGGGAGGGAGAAAGAGAGTAAGAGAAGCACTAATGTGTGGTTGCCTCTCATGCGCCCCCTACTGGGGACCTGGCCCACAACCCAGGCATGTGCCTTGATTGGGAATTGAACTAACGATGTTTTGGTTCACAGGTCGGTGCTCAATCTACTGAGCCACACCAGCCAGGGCTGTTTTTGAATTTAGATGAAAGGTACTGAAGTCAGTCTTTGGTATGGAATTGGATTAGGTTTGAATGCTGCTTTAAATTTAAGCTTATATGTTGACTGGGAGAAGTGGGTATATGATCAACCATTTATCCGAGCGTAGCAGCATGATGGTCAGAAGGTCACTCACTGCTCAGCCCTCTATTCTCAGCTGATATTTCTTTAGTTGATCACTAGACAATGACAGAAGGGAACAACTATGGCAATTTATTTCCTGTGTACATATATATATTTAAAATATTCTCTTGATCAGTTAATTACTTTATGCTTAATATTATTAATGTTAAAATGAAATTTTTCAGCACATTATTCAGCCTAGGAAAGCAAAAAAATGAAATAAAATTTAATCATTAAGACCTCAACTTGAAGTTACCCATCACCTGTCTAAATACATATGGGGAAAGGGAAAATACTACAGTATTTCATCCTAATTTTAAACTCACCTTTGGGCTTTAATACCATGAATTAAAAGGGTATTTTGAAAGTGTCTTTTTTGTACACTTATGACACATTTCTTATAGGTGTCTAACATTACTTTTCTTAATAATGTTTATTAATTTTGAGATTTTTTAAAACACTGATAATCATACTATCTGGCTAGATTAACCATGTACAATATTTATAACAGACACAGCACTATAATAGTGGTTTAATTTATTCAAGTAGATTCACTGTATAAAACCAAGTTGAGACACCTAACATTTTTGCTTTTAGAGGCTGAACTCTAGGATAATTATTACCAGACTCCTTACATGAAGTGTTGTTTATAGTTCAAATGTAGGGAATAATTAAATCCATTTGTCTTCACAAGAACTGCTACTTTTTTATCAAAAAAAATTATTGACCATTAATTCTTGCATCAAAGTGGAAAACTACAGTTATTCACAGTTGCATTCAAAGTTCAAATACATAATAATTTACTGGCCACTCATAATGATCAGAATGAACCTAAATTTAAGTGAAAAGAATCCTCAGGAAGCAGTAAGATTTTCTGCATTCCAAACATATAGCCATAAATTCTGATAACACTAACTTCTGAATTGCCAGTCCAATCTCTGAGGCAAAATCATGGTTCTGATTCCTATATAGCATACGTTCATCATTTTTCAGCTATTATGAGATAAATTTCAATCACGCATATTTATGATGTGGGTTTCTTGTTTGGTTTTGTAATACTTAAAGGCAGAGGACCAAAATAATGAATATTAGGTATTAGTCCTACTGCTGAACCCATGAGACCACAGTAAACTAGCAAGATGAATGGCTGCTATTTATGCTGGGCATGCATTACTTCATAGACGCATTACTTAGCTCACTCCCTAACAGAAATGCAAACTTTATTGTTGAAGTATCTGTTTCATTACCTATCATTATACTATAAATCATGATTCAACTCCTTTTTATAATTTCAGTATAGGCCTTGAAAGTTTTCTACCATGCATCCTATATATTAAATTATATCTGCATAAATTCAAGTCATACTTATGTTTGTTGTAGTCCCCCCCACCTCCGCACCCCCTTGCAGTGTTTCCAGTAATGAGAGAATATTGTCAATGTCCCTGGTCATTGATAATCACAAGGCTGTATAATGTTCTGGTCTGTTTGATAGTAATACTTGCTAGTGTCTATAAAGCACTTTATAATCAATATCTATTGGTATGTATCATAGCAATATGACTGGTACTTTCTTTTAAAAAATATTTATTTACTTTTAGAGAAAGGGGAAGTAAGGGAGAAAGAGAGGGAGGAAAACATCAATATGTGGTTGCTTCTCGTATGCCCCCAGCTGGGGCATACATGGCTGCAACCCAGGCACGTGCCCTGACTGGGAATTGAACCACTGACCCTTTAGTTCACAAGCTGGTGCTCAATCCACTGAGCCATACCAGCTAGGGTTATGACTGGTATTTTCAAATTGTGAAAATTAATCAAGAAAATTCTATAATTTCTATTGCTACCTTTGTTAGAAGCAAGGACTTGTCTTATTGTAGATTATATTTGTGCACATAATTCCTAGGTTGAGTCAGGAACAAGGTAAGAACATTCCCTCTCACCAGTCCATTTTAACATTTTAGTGGAAGTTCTGGCTAATGCAATAACAAAAATAAAACATATAAAATGTATACAGATTGGAAAGGAAGAAATCCATGTAATTGATTGAAGAAAACAATGTGTTGTTGATATGATTGTCTCTGTAAAAAATCCAAAAGAGTGGAAACAAACACACAGAAAGTCTCCTGGAACTAGTAAGTGATTATAGCAAGATTTCAGGACATAAAGTTAATATGTAAAATTCAATTTCTTTCCTAAATACCAGCAATGAACGATTGGAATTAAAATACAACATATTTCTATAACAAAAAAAACAATGAAATACTTAGGTATAAATCTAACAACATACATACAAGATCTTTCTTAGAAAAACTACAAAACTTTGATGAAAGAAAATCAAAGCTCTAAAATAAATAGAGAGATATTCAATGTTCATGGATAGAAAGGCTCAATATTGTTAAGCTCTCAGTTCTTTCTAACTTGACCAATACAATCCACCCCCCAAAATCTCAGCAAGTTGTTTTATCGCTATTGACATAAGGTTTATATGGAGAGTTAAAGCACCAGAGTAGCCGACACAACATGGGAAAAGAGGAACAAAGTTGGAGCACTAGTGCCACCCAACAGAAAGACTTACTATGCAGCCACTGTAATCAGGACAGGATGGTATTGTTGAAAGAACCAACACAAAAATCAGTGAAATATGGTGGAGAGCACAGAAATAGAGCCACATAAACATAGGTGACTTACTTTTGACCAAGGGGCAAAGGCAGTTCAATGGAGAAAGGATAGTCTGTTCAATAAATGATGCTACAACAATAGGATACTCACATGCAAAAAAAATGAATGTAGACATCAATATGTCACAAAAAATAACAGTATCTATCAGAAATCTAAAGTAAAAATAAAACTATACAATTTTAAAAAGATAATAAAGGAGAAATGCTTGGTGATCTTGGGTTTGGCAATGACTTTTTAGAAACAACACTAAAAGCACAATCTATGAAAGAAATAATTGACAAACTGGATTTCATTAACATTAAAAACTCCTTTTCTGTAAAAGACAGTGTGAAGAAAATGAAACAATAAGCCACAGGCTTGGAGAAAATATTTGTGAAAGACATATCTGATAAAAAAAAGACTCTTCTCAAAAATGTACAAAAGACTCAGCAGGAAGAAAACAAGCAACCCAATTTAAAATACAGACAAAATATCTTAACAGATGCCTCACCAGAGAAGTAATACAGATGGAAATTAAGCTTATGAAAAGATGCTCCACATTATATGTCATCTAGGAAATGCTAATTGAGACAACAGTGAAGTACAGTTGTCTCCATTGAACAACAATAAAAAAAGAAAGAAAGAAACAGTGAAATACCACTGCACACCTATTAGAATGGCCAAAACCTAAAACCTTGAAAACACCAAACACTAGCAAGTGAAAGGAGTCAGTTTGAAAGAACACATACTGTATGATTCCAACTATGTGACATTTTGGAGAAGTTACAACAATGGAACCAGCAAACAGATCAGTGTTTGCCAGAGATTAGGGGAGAGGAAGGGATGAACAGCAGAGCACTGGAGTCTTTTCGTACCAAGAAGCTGTTCTGTGTGAGACTGTGATGGTGGATGCATGACGGTATGAATTTCTCAAAACTCATGGAACTATCGACAGAAAGGGTGAACACCAGTGTAAGTGTAAGCTTGATTAATAATGGTGTGTCAGTGTTGTTTTTATCCGTTAGTAAGTGTTCCACGCTAATGTGAGATGTTAATAGTTGGGGAAACAGTGTGTTGGAGAGGGAGGAGAGAGGGTATATTGGAACTCTCATTATTTTCTGCTTAATTTTTCTGGCCCTAAAAATTGCTCTAAAAATGAGTCTATTAATACTGTTTAGAAAAGATGCTGCATTATTATCTCTGCAATTAATTCATATATATATATATATATATATATATATATATATATATTTATGGACATGAAACTAATAATACCATTTAACAGAATCACTTTTATTTTCTTAACCAGCCAGAATTCATACATATATGCTAGAGAAATCCAGACTTGTTTCACAACCTCTTGGCCAGAGCAATTTTCTCATTTTCTACTTGTTGATGGATGGATTATCTGCTGAGGAAAAATATGGACTTCACCTTAATAATTTATGTGCCCATCGGTAAGTGATTATGTATTTTCTATCTTTTTCTGCCATCAAACCTTGATTGCATTTCAGAAATCTTAAATTTTCTTTTTATTTTTCAGAGAATAAATGTGACTAAAAGGGATTAGTTGGATACTGTTAGGTTAGAACCATCTGTGTAACAGGGTATAACTATTTATTGTATGTTTAGGTGAAGTCTTGGATATATGTATTAACTTACATTTCTACTGTCCTAGTTTTCCATAAGAATAAAAACGTGTGCATGTATAACTTTTATATTTCTTTTTGGTATTTTGAATACAACATTAGTTATGCATTCCTAATCTTCAGTAGTCTTTTGAAAAATGGGGAATATTATTTGGGCAATTATCATTCATTAATAACAGATGAGGTTACATAATGGCTTCAGACGAACAACACATAAACTTGGAGGCTGATTTTCTGCACTGGAGGCAGAAAGAGTTTGTTAAAATGAGGACTCTTTGGTCATAGGATGGCGATGGAGCTGAGGTGGTCCTAAAGATAGGGAGCTGAGGAACGTCTTGCAATGTGTGCGTTTCCACCACTACATGACCCAGTGTGTCTCTCCAGCACGATTGGTCACGATTTGCGTCAGGATGAGAACGACACAATCAGGAGAGTAAACCCCATTCAGAAGGGAGACAGAGGGAGCTGGATGTTCTCATCCAAACTCACTGGTGAATTGATGCTGGGTTCAGAAGAACTAGATTCAGAAAGAGTTGAGGATTAATTTCAGTTCTGTCTGTCCCTACCTGATTTATAATGTATTAGGCTTTTGTTCAAGAAGAATGGTGTGAATTTTCACAATTTTATCAAAAGTTTTGTGAGAAAACTTAAATGATTTCCGGATGGAGGAGCAGGGTCTGAGGACCTGTCATGCTGGTTTTGAGATTGGAAGGTGGAGAAGCTGACTAGACAGTAAAGTGGAGCTGCACGTGCAAGCTGGAGAGATAGGCATCTTCCAGGGCCATGGAGTTTAAAGGGAGCTGAGCTCCTAGAACTGGACAGAAAAGCTGCAGGACTATACTTGTCGTGGCCATTGCTGTGAGGTCTAATGATGGTGGGACACAGGGTCAGGGGAAGGGAATGAATTGTCTGTATCCTAATTTGCCATGACATTATTAATCATGCTCATTCAGTTTCTCTGAAAATATTACACCCAACAGTATACATACAGTTTGTCATTTTGAATAGCAGAAAAGTAGTCAGAAGTTAAGGCCTTGTCAAAATTTTGTTTTATTTAAAGTGAAAGACTCTCTTGGGGTATACTGTCCCCCAAACAACAGAAATTCAGAAGAAAAAGAAAATGCTGAAATTGAAGCATAACATCCCAGAGTTTAGTGACCTTAAAAACAGAGATTCTAAGGTTGTAGGGCACTGGAAATGTCTTGATCCAATTGCCTAATTTCACAAAAGAGGAAATCAAACTCAGGCCACAAAGAGACTTGTACTGAAATGAATATATTATACCCCAGCAGTACTGAAAATAAACATTACCTGGAATCAACTGTTTATATTTCTACAGTCTCTAATGAGACATGTCCCTGGGAGGAAAAACATCAGATTGGGAACCATGGGTTAGCTTTTCAGGGTAGGCTGTGAGGAAGAAAAGTCTTAGTTTACTGTGTTCCTAATCTTTCTTATGAGCAAAATCTCAAAGTTTATGGCAGCCACCAGTTCAGAGGGTGTGCCTGTGTGTTTACGTCTGTGCACATGCACGGTGTGTGTGGCAGTTTGGACATACGGCAGTGAAGAAAAACAGGCAGTAATCTAATCTGCCATTCAAAGAAACAATTTAACTTCTTGGTCTGCGGTTTGGACCATTTTTTGAAGTCCGTGAATGTGTGGGAGAAAATAAGCATTTCTTTATTGAGCTCTAGCTCTAACATCCATTTCTCTTTGCAAAAGAGGGTTTGGAATCACTTAGGCTATTTAGAAAGTCAAACAGTCAGGGGTTGCTTTGTGAGAAGCTCCAACAGGAAAGAACTCAGCAAAATAATGAATAATTCAATTCCCTTGAACAAAGAAGTTATTTTATTAAAATGTTTTATAAATGTCTAATGGGCACAAAACAACATTCTTCAATAAAAAATATACACTGCCCCTCTGGAATCATAAAAGTATTAGCTGGAACATTTGTGCAATGGGAATTCCACAGACAAAATATTCTTCATAATAAAACAAACTATTTTTTTCAAATTATAATACATTATATATCACAGTATTTTTTTGTGACTTGTTACATGGGTCTTCTCACAATTACAATATTTGTGGGTCTTCTCATATTTCAGCACTAAGGAGTTTGAGAAGTTTGAGTTGAGGTCTAATCTTTTGTTTAGTGATTATGTATATGAAGTACAAAAATTTTGGAAATTATTTGGCTTCTTTATAATCAGTAGGATAAATATAAACTTGCTAGCTCTCTAATCTTTCACAAATTGGTGATCCTTCTGAGTCTTCTCCTTAAAGTTCGTATACACGGGTGAAGGATGTCACTACACACATAGACACACGTATGCTGAGTGCCTACATATCTGTGTGTAAACACAGTTATGAGTGTTATTATTATCACATCTACTTATCTGATTTTTTAAAAAAGATGTCAACATACATATTAAATACAAAACAACCAGCACCTACATTGCCAGCCGAACCTCCCTTTGCTCATTCAGCACTCCTTCCACACTGCAGCTTGTCATGAAATGTCACCAATGCATGCTGAGCCTTAAGCACTGCAAAAATGGAAAGCCTGCCCTCTTCAGATGCACCTTTCCCTTCTTTATTAAAAGCAATTCATTACCTACATGAAACAAACATTCCACAGTAACTGTGAACTGAAGATAATATTTAGCTCATATTCTTATGTGATTAGAACTTGTTAGAACTCCAGACAGAAGAAAACATTGTTGTATTTAATGCCTTATCATTAAAGCTGGAATAGTATTTTGTAACTTTGGGTCTGTTTTTAGAGCTAAAAGTTTTCAAAGTATGACATGACAGTTCATGGAGCTTTACTTCAGAGTTATGGCACCTAAACATACTATGCTGTTTGAAAAATTGGGACAATATCTAGAACAGGCAGAAAAGTACTGTCACTCAACTATAAGATGTGAAGTGTACAGGTCCAGATATCAGCTTCTATAGCTTAACTGCATGAAAACAATATTTATAACACTTTGCATAGAATCTTCCTCTACAGATTGTTAAAACAACAAGAGGAAAAAAAGTCTCGAGGTCTCTAACATTTTGAGTAGTGGCAAAAAGATTGCACTTATTACAAATTTCCACTAGATGGTGCACTCTCCACAGTCAGTCAGGAGCAAAGAAAACAGAAAGCTCATCTCTAAAGGTTTCTGTTTTATTTATGATTCTTCCTGTGATTTACTTTTGCTTTTCATGGTTGTTTGTTTTTCAAGTTCTATTTCAACTTTTTGTATGAAATTCTAGTATTATGTCTAGGGAATAAATATAGTTTATGTTTGTGGGAATTAAGCTTCAATGGAAGTTAGAAATATTAATAAATTTCTTATCTTGAACCTCCTTTAAACAGCTTTTATGGGTTTAGTCCCAGAACAGTTGGGCTTCAGAATCCAAAGATGTTATTCCTAATCTCCCTTCATATTGATTAATGATGGAAATGAGTGGGGTGTTGCATAACATTTTCAGCAAAGGTCAGATTTTGAATTATAAGCCGAAACCTAGCAATCGCTTGACTCAGAGCATGTGACCTGTTCCTAACCTTGTGTGTTAGTGAAAGGAAACTCTGACTCACTAAGTATTTGAGCATGTGACTGCCGCCCGGGAGTACACCTGTCACAGTGTGCTACAGCGATGAACTCTCAGTGAAAGTTCATTTTTTTTGCTAAGGCTTTAGCAAATTACTCACATTGAACTTAACCTGAGGAAGTTCCACATAATATTTTTTTAAAAAGGTAAGAGTAACTTAAACTTTATTTGAGGATGATTCTTCATGATTTTATGACATAATAAAATATTGAATTATCCACACATTTTAGGCAAGCAAAATTTGCAGGTGCTCCTGAGACAAAGGTTCTAGACAGGAGGTATTGTAACCTATGTCTAACTGACTATTATAAATTATTTAAATGATAACCACAGTTGTAATACATACAACTTATGGAACACATACCATAATCTAGACCCTGTGCTTGGGCTCACCACCCTTGTCTGGTTGAATCTTCACCTGTAACTAAGCAGAGGGTGCAGCATCTGCATCAGCCTGTAGTTTAGAAATTCACACTTTCTTCTGACATATAAACTTCAAGGTTCTTGTCTGCACAATCACAATTTGGGAAAAACAGATAAAAATATACATTTTCTTAGCATCCCTTGGTCATTACACTAATTTTAAAGTTCTGTTTTTGGTCTTGAAATTCCATTTTGATTGTATCCATTTCCCCAGAAACTGATGCAAGAGGATACCATGATCCCCAAATATTCTCATATCTTTGTTCTTTAAATGCAGCACCAAGTGCTGAACGTTTGGTCATCACCGCCTTACCCAACCAGGACCACTGTACGCCCATCCTCAACCCACAGCTTCTTATCTAAGTGCCTCTTTAATCCCGCCTGTTACTCAGGGTGGGTCAACATTTGGAAAATACCAACTTAACTATGAAAGCCCATAGCTTGGAAATCTTTAATAAACATTGCTTTTCTGTCATATCAAATATCGTCTCCTAGATGATGAAGGCAACAAAGCAGAATAGGTGTAGAGGAATTTAGAGGGAAGGATTGCTAACATGTTCTTTGAAATTATGTGTTGTTGTCTCAGCATTTAAAAGTGGGGTTGGGTACCAGTCAAGTAAAAACTGTTTTTGCTGGTGAAGAAAATAAACTCACATGAAACTAGACAGTCAGCAGTATGTTTATCTTTCAGTTAGGAAAATAGAAAGTCACCCCTTACCAGGAGAGGGCGAAATCCTCTGAGTCTCACTTTCTCAGTCAATCAGATAAAACAACACATTTTTAAG